TATATTAGGAGGAAGCATGGGACAGAGGTGATACCAAAGAGTTTAAATAGATAGCTTCCTAGTTAGGCTATAGGTATAGCAGCTAGTGTAGAACCTTTGGGCAGACTACTTAAATTAGATAACCAAAAGTTGTACATGTGGCTAGTTGTACTCTTGTAATACTAATGTAATATGTGGTCAAGTCTTTGGACATATGGCCTAACCGCTTGTACTAATAAAGTGCCAAGGGCCCAAGTGGTCACCTTAATATTAAAAAAAAAAAAAAATTATATATCAGTTTGTTGATATATATTTTTAACCTAATAAAACCTCAAAGCTTTTATTTTTTATTCAAAAACAAGCTAATTATAATGAAAGTATAAAGATGCTATAGTTATATTTTTAAATTTTATTAGGCCAAGCAAAAATTTTTTTTTGTTTCTCATAACCCGGCCGGGTCATAAAACCTGGGTAAGAAAATTTAAATTTTTGAGGCGCAGCATAATATTAACCAATCAGATTCGTTAACACGCTTTAGACTATTGAAGCATGAAGTAGATCTTTTAAGAAATACTAAACTACAGGTTTCGCTTTATTAATCTTTTCGGTTCACTGTTTTTGGGCGTAGACTTCGATCAAGACTTTCTTATTTAAACTATGTGAAATTTCAGATATGATCTACAAGAGATTCGCCATGTTGCCACTTTAAGTTTATTCACTTTACCTGAATAAGGTAAGCGATCTCTCTTGTGCCCTGTCTTTTTCTATTTCAGTACTAGTATGTACTAACTTACTTTGCTTTTTATGTTATACGACATAGCTCGCGTTCCTGTGTACGTATCAAGCTAAAAAAAATACTCTATTTCAAGATATTTCAAGAATATTGATAGCATTAGTAAACTGTTTATTATTTCACTAATAATATGAATCTAGTTAAAAGGAACAAAAAACTTTTATCAAAATTACTATCCTCTAGAGAATTTGTGAAGGTTTTTAGCCTTTTTGCCTTTGACGAATAATCTCCGTCCTTTGCGTTTGGTTGGACCATCCGAACTAGTACAGCTTTCACACTTTGGTAGTTTTTCTTTGGAACGAGGTGGACGTGTGGTATTTAACGGTGTAAGCTGATTGACATCAAGACTACCACACAGGTAGGATAGATTGATGCTGAATAATACGGTTTTTCAATTGGAGAGTTACAAGTCCAAGAGTCGTTAACGAAAATGCTCTTAAATATTTTCTAGATGGGGTCACTAATTTTATCTTTTGTACTTTCTTCTTCAGGTTTGTTAGAACTATTATCCATTTCATTAATTTCATTTTCTTGGTCGCTTTCATCACTTTCACTACTTTCATCACTTCGCACATTATCATCACTTTCATCGTCATCGATATTATTGATAATTGGCTCTTGGTTAGAATTATTAGAATCAGCAACAGAATCATCATCGTAATTGTAGTCATCATGTTCAGGAACTTCATCTGAATCATAATGTTGCCTAGTTGGTGTAGCAAATGATAACTCACAAGTATTGTGAAATGCAGTTCCGCAGGTGTATAGGATGATATCTAGGAATCGACTAAGTATTTGACGGTCCTTTTCCAGTAATTTTTTGGCACTAAATAACAGTCTTGGTTTATCACATTCTGCGCACTTAACTGTAATTCCGACATTTCTAGCGCGCAGTGCAGAAGGGCAGAAAGGCATTGTATGCTTTACTTTTCCTTTCGTCCATCCTCTTGTTTGGATAAATTTTGTTCTAGGTATTGCTTTTTCGCGTGAAGGTCTATATTTTTCCGTTGTATGGGTGCCATAAAGTTCTTCAAAAGATTTATAATACGAATCTACTCCCGGAATCAGATCAGGAAGGGTGTAAAGTTGAGTAAATATTTCATGTAGGCATCGAGGTGGTAGGCAAATTGGACAAGTATCTTCACCACACTTTTTTATTGTAAAAAAGTAATGTCTTGCCATGCAGCAGTGGTCGAAAAATTCTTTCAACCGTGGCTTTTGGAAGCAGTTATAGTTGGTTTATGCATTTATTTGATTTTCTTATAGTCAACTATGGATTATAATTAAAAAAATCCACTATATCCATAGTTGACTATATAAATATCTACTTACCTGTTGTTTTAGGTTTTTCATTTCATAATCATCATATGTTATAGTGTCATCAATTAGATTAATGTTCTCCCAAAATTTTTCAATATCTTCATCCGTTGCAGCATCAAATGTTTTAAATGGTACACCTTTTAAGGACTGTCGTTCAAAAATTTCACGAACAAGATTAATTGGATCCTGGATACTTTTTATAAGTTCATCTCTCAAGGTAGGGTTTGATTCCGCAATTTCTCGAATATCTTTCATTGAGTTTGCTTTCTTAATAAGGTCCTCATATTTATCATCTATTTTGCTATGCTTCAATCTGATGCATTGCAATCCAAGATTGAGTGTCGACATTATATGTTCAACGGGGTTCTTCCAGGAGTGTGAGGGTGGTGTCCTTGCTGCTACGAGATAATCAAGGTCAAAGGCTAAGAATAAACAAATGTAAGATAACTGAACACGCATATACGTGCACCGGTGGTCGGGGCCACCATCCGTATAAAGACATAAAATAGGGGTGGGTATGTTTTGTGTTAAAAAGATGTTATTAAGTTCAGTCGTATGGCGTAAGGGAGTGGAAGGCTTTAAAATTGGGTCTTTTAGTCCGATGCATACTTCTCCTGTATAAAAATTTCCATTGATTGTTTCAGGGATATCACAGAGCATTGTCACGCTTGGCACCATTCCGGTCTTTGAAAAATCATGGTCACCTACTGCGAATGTCATGTCTTTTCTTACTATTACTTGTTTCCCCCTATCAACTGCTGCTATAGGATGGCCTGGCTCTCCGATTTTGCATCGGTGCTTATCATCTAAAAACACAAGTGTTGTAAAGTCACGAAATTTAACTGCGAACTCTTTTTCATAACGAAAGATTGCTAAAGCATAGTGGGAATCTGGATGATTGGCTCGTAATTGTCGAGATTGCACCATGAATTTTAAAGGTAAGCGGCCCGTATATTGTAAGCTGGTTAGATGTGTCGGATTTTTTGGCCAGAATTGTAACCTTAGCCATTGAGCACTAGGAATTGGTGTATCTTCCAAGCATTCATTTTTTATTTGTTGAAAAAGGTCATTTATTGAAATTGCAGTGGCAAGGTGTACAATCGGATCATGGCGCCGTTCGTCAACTGCAGTTACCAGATCTGCTGCTTTTCCCGCGAGAAAACAAGCTGCTACCTCCCAAAAAGCATTATATTTTTCTGGTCTTCCCTCATTATGTTCCCGAAGATCAACAGTAATATCAGGATCACCAAGCTCTAAAGCTAATTTTACACGATTGTCCACTTTTTTTTCATTTGCAGATTCAGCAGCCGACATATCTCCTGTTAGCATGCGATAAACTGCTCGTAAGGGCGCTGGTTTGACCTTAGGCAATAACAGATCACAAGTGCGCATGAAATTGGCTCGCATTATGCGAGTATGGTATAAAGGTGCTTCATTCTGTAACTCTCTTGTAATGCGCGTCATTTCTTGTACAATTTTTGTTTCAGTAGTATTTTGATCAATTTTCCAGATGTATATAACATTGTAAGCATTATTCCCAGAGCTATAACGGTATTCTTCAATCTTTAAGGCAAACGCTTGTGAAAGGCCTTGAATAAATCGTAACCGTTGCCTAGAACAAAAAGATAAGTTATTAATTGATATATTTGAGTATATATTTGAGTATATATACTTGTATTGGTTCTTTTGGTAGATGCTCTTCAAGGTTTATTGGTTTCCATGGTGGAAGGTCTTTTAGGATATTTTCAAGTTTTTGGTATTTCATTTTGTTACATGAATTTATCTAATTATTACTTTCATAGATGTTTATTGATGTGGACTTTTCTATATTTCGAATAGGGGCTTCCTTTATATGATTTGAGGTTATTGCTTCTCGCTGCTTATCCAAGTATTTCGCATAATCGGAGATTGCAATTATAAGATCATCAAATGCAGCGTATAGCCAACTAAAGTTAGAGGATCACATCCATGATGATGCAAGGTAAGGGATAAGTGATTGACAATGAGTATTTAACTCATTTATGTCAAATTGTTTTCTTGCCCCTTTATATGCTTCGGGGTTTGCACGACCAAGAAATTCATGAAACATTGGAGGTATGTTGAAGCTTCGTTCTTTTAATTTTTTATTATCACACATATCTATGTACCAAAGAGCTTCTGATAAGGAAATTACAAACTGCTTTCCTTCATTATTCGCTGATGCTTGTGTCGACCAACCGCTTTGATGATTCTGAATTAATCTGACAATATCTAGACGTAGTAACTGCTTGCGGTTTGAATTCGGCAAATATGAAAAATTTGGTATGCAGAACTGTTTACTTTGAGAAGATTGCATAATAATATCAAACCCGTTTTTAGATTTATCTAAATTACTGTTTTGTATTCCATCATTATGAAGATGATAATGAACAATTTTTCCAAACTTGCTGGTGAGTTCAATAATTTTACAGTCTGGACTTGTTTGTGTTGTCTCTGTTGGTGGGTTAGTTGATTTACTTAAATCAATACGCTTTATTTGCTCAAAATCATTCACATCAACTAATGCGTCTGGTGAAATCTCGCAATTTATCAGCTTATAGAAGAATTCTTTAAGCGTCATTTCATATAGGATTGGATGTATATACCATCCATGTAATGTTTTACTTCCTTTCGATATGCGTACATTTGCGTAAGGCATTTTTTTTTTTCAAAGGATAGAGAATTTACGAAAAAAAGGTATGAAAAATTTAAACTTTTTGTGAGAATTTTTTTTCTTTTTTTTCATAAAGTTACATGTGATTGTACATCGCAAATTTTAAATTTTATTTGCAATTTATATTGTCGTGATCATTTTATAATATACGGTGCATGCCGTTTGAGTCATGCATGAATAAATTTCACTCTTGGGGCAATACACATTCAGGATAAAACTCGTGTTAATTTCAAATGCTTAAAATCGTCGTGATCACAATTGGGATAGTATTGGATTCGACCTTCAGATTTAAATCTGATTGCTTTTGGATTTGATTTAGATTCGGATATAAATTCGAATCAACTGAATTTGCAATACTTACAATTTGTAATACAAGAACAAAAGAATTCAATCTCCTATTAGAGTGTCCAAACTTATGCGATTTCAGGGATTTTTCATTGTTTAATCCCCCGAAATCGCATAAGTCCGGACACTATCTTCTAGAACTATCTGTAATGATAAAATAGGTTTGTTAAACATAATAGTGCAATTTGATTTTAGATACTATTGCTATTATTGAATTTAACCAATAATAAAGTGCTGATGAAATAAATCCAGATTTCGATTTAACAATTCGAATCTAAATTCGATTTAATTCAGTTCCAAATTCTAATCACAATAATTCGCCAAATAAAAGGGTTTTATCAAGGGTCAGTATAAATTTAAGGTTTTCTAATTTCTTGATTGTTTCCATTTTTAGCTTTGTTAATTTACTTTTAATCCTGTTTTACTCTAAAATAGAAATTCTAACTATGAACTTTTTGCATGCATTTATTTGTGCGTGTGAATTTGATTTTACTATATTACATTTTAAGAGTATTATGTAGGGCTGTTAAAAGTCCGATCCTTTCGGTCCAGACTTCGTAAATAGAGACTTCGATTAGGACCCAGTCCTTGAGTCGAGTCCATACATGTAATAATCAAAATAAATCTCGATATAAATTAGCCAACTATATGAATGCCTCCTGACCACAATTGGAACAAACGACATGCATTTGACCAATTACATGGACGCATATGGGACTTTGTCCAGGACAGGCTTGAGTCGGTCCTAAAAAGTCCATGTGAAGTCGACTCAAGGACCAGTGTAAAATTTTCTAACGATAGCACTATAGATCTAATACTAATTAGTTTGCAGGTGGTGCTACACGTATGACCTGTAAAATTGATAGCTGTCCTGGTTGTATCACGCAATATAGTATTAAACCTAGGTGCTGCACAAAAAATGCGCAGCATATTCTCGATTTTGATTGACTAACGGCTGAAGATCTTCAAAATTTTGGCCCGCTTGTTATTTCCGGCTGGAATTAATTTTTTAATTTTTTCATTACAAAAATAGAAATTTTTAAAAAATAAGCCCGCACTATGGTAAAATTGGCCCAGGAACAATTTTCACTTAACAGGCGGCTGCGATTTCATTAGTAAAATTATAAGTAATTCCGGCCTAATTTTTTGATCATTGCTCTTAGCCAATCAAAATCGAGGATCTGCCGCGCATTTTTTGTGCGGCACCTAGGGTTAATCAAAATAGTACATATATGCACTTATTTGGGGTTAATTACAATAAAAACTTTTTGTATATTGCTGGGTCATGATTTTTTAAAATTATAATTTTAATTTTTTAATTTAAAAAATTTTTGAAACTTA